AAGTGAAGAGATTGAGACTATCCTGGTCAACATGGGGAAACCCTGTCTCTACTAAAAATACAAAAAATTAGATGGGCGTGGTGGCGCGTGCCTGTAATCCCAGCTACTCGGGAGGCTGAGGCAGGAGAATTGCCTGAACCCAGGAGGCGGAGGTTGCAGTGAGCCGAGATCGTGCCATTGCACTCCAGCCTGGGTAACAGGAGCAAAACTTCGTCTCAAAAAAAAAAAAACTTCCAGATCCAACAGGGACTTGAATAGTATATAGTTGAAAAAAAAAAAGTGGGCACAGTTTTGAAAGTGCCGTCATTAGCCGAAGTGAAGCATGCGCCAGTTTTTCTGCGTTAGATACAGTGCTGAACATAAGCCTATCCTCTTCCACAGTCAGATCACTAATTTGTAGGGAAAAGACCCCATAAGTGCCTCAGCCTATTTCCATACATATAATGAAGAAGAAAGTAACTAGAAATATAGCCGTAGTTATTAGCTATTCATAGGTGATCTTAGTCATTCGTGGGTGATCTTAGTCATTCGTAGGTGATCTTAGTCATTCTTGGGTGATCCTAGTCATTCGTGGGTGATCTTAGTCATTCGTAGGTGATCTTAGTTATTCATAGGTGATATTAGTCATTCGTGGGTGATCTTATTCATAGGTGATCTTAGTCATTCGTGGGTGATCTTATTCATAGGTGATCTTAGTCATTCGTGGGTGATCTTAGTCATTCATAGGTGATCTTAGTCATTCGTAGGTGATCTTAGTCATTCGTGGGTGATCTTAGTCATTCATAGGTGATCTTAGTTATTCATAGGTGATATTAGTCATTCGTGGGTGATCTTAGTCATTCGTGGGTGATCTTAGTCATTCGTGGGTGATCTTAATTCCTTTACCAATGCCTCTCAGGTCGGAACTGTGAACCTGGGGTGACATCGTGAAATGAGTGACACTAAGGCAAACTGCTCTAAACCCTCTGTGACGCCCGCGTAAGGGCTCCTGGAGGGTGCCTCGGCCGTGCGGTAGCGCCAGCGCTGGGAAAGCCCCACTGTTTAGCCAGCTAGGGGAGGAGATGTCCAAGATGGCCGAGACGTCTCCTTCCTGGGGAAGTTAGGGGAAAACTCCGCTTCTCCACGCTCTTGTGATGGGCCTGACGCTGTCAGGAGGCCGCAGACCTCCAGGGGCTCAACTGTCTCTGTGTGACGCTGTGCTTCAGCCGTCACGTTCCAGGTCCACTCTCACGCCCTGCTTCCGCACCTGGCTGCTTTTTTCTTGTAAGAATTAATCAGTAAAAGTAACGCTAATTTAATGTCTTTGACACGTGTGGGAAAACTGCTGACGCATTATGCCTCTCACCTCATCTCGGCTACGGCAAATTCCTGACCTGTTTGACACGCCATGTACTTGACCCTATCACTACCACGCCCCATCTGCCCTGCCCGCCGTCACCGACCACCAAGGCCATGCCCTACCTTTCCCGCCCCCAGATTTGCAACTCAAAAAAAGTGGCAAGCAGTGGACCCCGGGCCCAAACTCTCTTTTCTCGATATCCGTGTCTTGTCCTTTTATTTCTACAATTTCTCGTCTCCACAGCAGTGAAGCATGCGCTAGTTTTTCTTTGTTAGACATAGCGGTGAATTTAAGTCTATCCTCTTTAGCAGGCCAATCCCTAATCAAGAGTATTTCACCCTGCAGCGTGTTTGTGATGCTGGAGGAACCCCAATGACACACAGTGAATGACTGGTTCCGAAGCTCGCTGAGCGTGTGGAATTCATTTCATTCTCCGATGAAGCAAGCCTGGTGCTGTGTGTGGACGGCCGAAGTCGGGCCTGATTGGACCATGTGACTTGGGAGACTGCTTGTATTTTTCACCTGAGTTTCACTCCTATGCTCTTCCAAACAGTTACTGCCCTTGCATTTGGATAGTGGTTGTGGTCTACAGATTTTGCAAGTATATGCTGTCTGTTTTTCTAGTATATGCTGTCTGTTTTTCTAGTATATGCTGCCTGTTTTTCTAGTATATGCTGTCAGCCTGTTTTTCTAGTATATGCTGTCCATTTTTGTAGTATATGCTGTCTTTTTTTCTAGTATATGCTGTCTGTCTGTTTTTCTAGTATATGCTGTCTGCTTTTCTAGTATATGCTGGCAGCCTGTTTTTCTAGTATATGCTGTCAGCCTGTTTTTCTAGTATATGCTGTCAGCCTGTTTTTCTAGTACATGCTGTCTATTTTTCTAGTATATGCTGCCTGTTTTTCTAGTACACGCTGTGTGTTTTGTGAGTATATGCTGTCTGTTTGAAGGTCTCACTATTGTTTGACTGTTGCAGTTAAGCCATTTTCTGCTTTCGCTGCACCAGTGATAATGAGCTTTTTAAACTTTTATCTTTCACTGTTAAGTAGCTTCATATGCTTTCGCATCCTTTTTTGCCAGGGAACAATGCCACAGATCTCTTCCATCCTGCTGTAAGAAACACAGGAGGAAGGAACAGTATTCACCTTCCACAACACCAAGAAGCCTACACCGGTGTCAGGCAGGGCTCCCCAGAGAGACAGAACCAGTACGATCTGGAGCTGGGTGTATGAGAGGGTTAACAGGGGACTGGCCACATGATTACGGAGGCTGAGAAGTCCCAGGACGGGCTGTCTGCAAGCTGGAGACTATGGGAAGTCGAAAGCCTCAGCACCCACTGCAGGATGGGAGGGGACAGCGCTAACTCTCACTATAGATTGAAAACCCAAGAAGCCAGGGGCCACTGGTGTAAAAGTCCTGGAGTCCAAAGGCTGGAGAGCCTGGATCTCTGCGTCCAAGGCAGCAGAAGAGAACTGTGTCCCACAGGGGCCCTGACGCTTTCAGCTTGAGCAGTTGTGGCAGGCCAGGAGGCACCACGCCGGCAGACCGTTGAGCGCTGCTTCCCAGGGAAGGTGCAGTCCTTGCCCCCACAGGTGGGGCTGGCAGTCAACTTTCCCCCAGGAAAACAAGGACAGGTCACCAGAAGCACCCAGTGAGCCACCATGACAGCCCTGGGGCAGGTGAGATCTCTCCTGAGCACGTGGTTTTCAGTGTCTCCCTTCGCCCACCCGGAGGCTTCTGAGGCCTTTCACCCCAAGGCCACAGCCTCCCGCCTTGGTTTCAGCAAACACCTTTGGCCAGAGGTCAGCTCAGGGAGGAGGCTGTGAGAGCGGGCAGGAGGGGGCCACTGTACTCTTCCACCCCAAGCCCCATCGCCCGGACCACGGAGGAGGGAGCACAGGCCCTGGCCAGGCACAGATGGCAGCACCATCCGGGAGACAGATGCACACCGCCGCACCCTGTCCAGGCCTGGTCCCTGCTGGACCTCGTGCACGTGACAGGCTGGGACTGAGGGAGGAAGCATGACATGGAGGCCAGGGCCCCCCCACCCAGGCTTCCCTCCACCCCACCCCCCACCCCCAGCCTGTGGCAACTGAATGTTATCAGGACCCAGAGGGATCAAAGAGTTCAGTGGAAAATTACTCAGCTTCATGCGAACTTGCTTCTATTTGGGGCAAGGCCGTTCTAGGCAGGAAACGAAAGGCTTGATAGATTTGATGAAACAAATGTCAACCTTCTGCATAAGGGATTTAAAAGCATACGGAAAGCTGAAAAATGTATGACAAGGGCTTATTACATTTAATAAAGAAGTAATTGTTCATTTTCTCAAAGGCGGCTTTTACAATTTAAAAAGGAGAAAACAAATGGGAAAAACACAAAAACAGACAAACTCAGGAAAGAATTTAAAAATGGGCAGGAAGTGGCTGTCGCAATTGTCGTGTGCAAAAAATAATAGGAAGTGGGACTTCTTTTTGAGGCAGAGTTTTGTTCTTGTTCCAGGCTGAAGTGCAGCGGTGCAATCTCAGCTCACTTTGAATTTGAATTAAAACTATTTATTAGAGAACGCTGAGCCAGCAACGCTGACTGCACCCAGTTTGCTTTTAAGTGTGGTAAAGTTGCCCAGTGTTAAAGTCTGCAGCCCCCCAGGGCCCCCCGGAGACCATCCCTTGGGAGTGTCTTCGTTGAGATCAGAATTTGCCTCTCTGTGGAACCACATGGATGCCGGGAGGGTGGCGGAGGCCCAAGGTCCTTGGTCAGCCCACACTGCCATGACTGGGGCAGCCTGCGTGGAGGGGTGGACCCTGGAAGCTGGCAGCTGGAATCAGGGTGTGTGAGATACCCCACTTCTTCCTGTGCCCGGCCCCTGGGGCTGAGGGCAGCCTACAGCCTTGTGGGCATGAGGAGAGTGGCAGGTCCCCCCTGCTGGTCCTCACAGTGACTGCACTCCCCAGCACCCAGCCAAAGCCCATACACTCACTCTGTCCTCCCAACCACTCCTCCCCCAATCTGGGTGCTGGGCACACAGGCTTCAAGGACCCCACAGCATATGAGATGCTCACCAAGTGCCATTCCAGACCCAGGGAGAGGGCACTGGTCATTAGAGCTGTCTGAGGCTGCACCTGGCCCCACTGCAGAGACTGGGTGGGTGGGGACTGTGCAGAAGGAGAGCTGAGACTCCCACTGGAGCCCCTTTTGATGACTCCCTCCATCCCTGGGGATTCAGCTATGGAACCATTTCCATAAGAAACCTGTTCTGGGGATGCAGTTCATAGGGTCCCCTGCAGGTGGGAGGGCTCCTGCCAGAGAAAGAAGTCAGTAATCCCCTCAGCCACGATACTGACCAACATCTGCACCCACAGGGTCCTCGACCAGCAGCAAACACTCAACTCAGGAACAGCCACTGCTGGGCGCTTGAAGTGAGTGTCTCAGCAGAAAGTCCAGGCTGAGGCCAACTGTGTCCCAGAAGCCTGCTGGTAAGAGGGACTGTTTCATCTCAGGAGCCCTTGTGTGCTTGAGGGACAACTGGGGTGCTGAGGACACAGGCCACACCAGCCTGTAGCGGGGTGCAGTCAGCCGTGTTCTGCCCTGCCCCTGGGCTGCAGCTGTGGAAGAGCCTGGCTTTGTGAGGAAGGTGACCCCACCCAGCCCCGCCCCAGCTCTGGGAAACACTGGGGAAGCCACCTGTGTGCTCCTCCTCTGGGAGAGAGGGTATGGGAAAGCCCTCCAGGGAAGCTTCGGTGAAGTCTTCTCTGTTCACAAATGCCTGTCTGGGGGGCTCCACGGAAGAGCCTGGGGGTGGGGGTGCGCTGTCTTAGGGTTTCGGGTCTCTAAGGAGAAAGCCAATTAACACACTCAAGGAACAGGCAGTGACGACTCTCGTGAGTTTTTTTTAATTAAAGGATGTGCAAATTAACACACTGACTGAGACCAGAGGCTTGGGCTTGCAGGCAGTGGTGGGGGTCATTGGGGAGTAGTGCCCAGCCTCCCAGCTGGACAAAGCCTGGCCCTTGGTCTTCCTGTTCTGCAGTGCTCTGCAAGTCCAGAGTGGACTGGAGTTCATAGGAGCTGAGATTCTGTTTGGGGTTAGTGCATCTGCCTCCAGGAGGGCATCCCCCAGGGTGCAGACCCTGGGGACACCATGTCCTGGGGGAGCTGGGGGTGCTCAGCAGCCTGGCATTTCCCACATCAGCCCTGCTGCCACCAGGGCTCACCCACACGGTGCTGGGGTGCCCCTGTCCCCATGTGGGCAGCTGCTCCTCCCCTGCACACAGACCAGGAGGGCCCGCCACAGGGTTTCTATTTGCCCACAGTCTTGGGACCCAACTTAGAGCAACACATGTCGGCATGATCCCAGGTTCTCAGGAGGACCCAGCCTTAGAATGCAGGTGAAGATGAAGGCTGGAAGGCAACTGTCTGGGCGACCAGAGGTGCCTGACTTGGCACCTGGCGTCCTTAACAGGTTTACAGCTGTGGCCACCTAACTGCGCTATCCCGGAGAGGCCAGCAGGTGGCCACCTCTCCCGGCAGCAATCACCATGCAGCACCCTGGACAGCGGCAAAGGCCGTGAGCAGATGCAGCCCCACTGTCCCCTGCAAAGCCTACACGCATGTCCATTCGCTCCTGGAATCCTTCCAGTTGAAGGTGCGGCCCAGAAATGGCAAGTGCCCTGCCTAAGGTCGCAAAGCAAGTCCGCGGCAGACTCCCAATCCCTTCTTGAGCATTCCCAGGGCTGAGCCCACTGCTATCTGTTGAGGCAGGCAAGGCAGATGCTGAGCACCAGCAGCCCCCAGCTGACTCTGAGGCTCACTGTGCTGTTGCAGAGATCCGTGTTGCAGCAAAGGGCCCTGGAGGCAGCCAGGCTCTCTTGGTAGCCAGGGCAGGTGTAAGCACATGATTTTATAACAATCGTTTCATGATCTGGGGGAGATGGAAAACAGAGGGCAGAGGGCTGTTTTTGAGGCCCGTGAAATTCACTCCTGCCCCTCGGCGGGCAAAGGCCTGCCTGACTTTTCCTCATTGTTCTCCCACCTTACAAGGATGGACAGCAAGAGGCAAGTGCAGCCAGGGCTCAGTGTGTGACAGGGACCAGGGCTCAGTATGGGACCAGGACCAAGGCTCAATGTGTGACAGGAACCAGGGTTCACTGTGCGACAGGGACCCAGTCACTGGTGACCGGGACCAGGGCTCAGTGTGTGACAGGGACCAGGGTTCACTGTGTGACAAGGACCAGGGCTCAGTGTGTGAGAGGGACCAGGGCTCACTGTGTGATGAGGACCAAACTGAGTGTGTGACCAGGACCAGAGCTCAGTGTGTGGTCAGGGTCAGGGCTCAGTGTGTAACCAGGGTCAGGGCTCAGAGTGTGACCAGGACTAGGGTTCAGTGTGGGACAGGGACCAGGGCTCAGTGTGGGACAGGGACCAGGGCTCAGTGTGGGACAGGGACCAGGGCTCAGTGTGTGACCAGGACCAGGGCTTAGTGTATGAGCAGGGCCCAGGGCTCAGTATGTGACCAGGGTCAGGCTTAGTGTGTGAGAAGATACCAGATCTTAGACACTCTCCCACTTTTCTCCCTCTTCCTTTCTGAGCATCCTGTAACCTCTGTTCAGGAATTACAAGGATTTAAATCAAGCATTTCCTATGTGCCACCACTGTGGGGGGCATTTCATGTGGAATATCTCCTACGCTCTAAGGACCTTAGGATGGAGGCAACGTGCCATTCTCATTTTGGAGGGAGGGGATGGAGGGCCAGCAGTTGTGGCATTCGTCTGAGGCACTGCTTGCAAACATGAGCTCTGATTAAAAGCCAGTCTCCCCAGCCCCTTTGATCTCCCTGCTACTCCCCGCCCTCCTGCTGAGGCCCAGGCACACTGCCCTGCCCGCCTGCCCACCCAGAGGGAGGCACTCACTGGTCCAGGTGGTCAGGCAGTAGCGGGAGCCATCTCGGCAGACTGTGGGCTGGAAACAGTTCCCTGTGGCAGAGCACTCATGGCAGCTCAGGGCCTGGGCTGGGGGAGGCACAGCTGGTGGTCAGAGCCCAAGCCCTGGTCCTGGCCCAGCCTCCCACATCACAACCGCGAGGCACATGGACTCTGCTTGTGGGAAAGCGCCAGCTTACCAAGCCCTGCACCCCGTCCTCCACCCACCCACCTGTGAGGACACCAGTCCTTTCCAGTGCTACGCTCCGTGGAGCACACACAGGCTCAGATAAAGGAGTTGTCTCTGCTTTCCTGGGGCGAGAAATCACCTGGGGCGGGGAACCAAAGCTCTGAGAGGTCCAGGCTACCAGGCAATCCCCAGCACCCCAGGAACCCTGCAAGGCCCACCAGACCAGTGGGGGCAACCCTCTGCAGGACCAGGCAGAAGCAACGGTGCCTCTAGTGAGTCAGGAAGACAGAGGGGGCAGGCAGCCCTGGGGCTGGAAATGGGGCCAAAGGTCCAGGCTGTGATCCTGCGCTTGCTGAGGTACAGGCTGCACCTCCTGTGGGGCCTCTGGTGAGTCCTGCCCTCTGTACCCCAGCTTTCCCTTCTGGCCAGCATGGGTGCCTAACCAGAGGGGCCTGTCCAGCTAGGCCAGCCCAGGCTGTCAGGGTGGCTTCCCGCATCCCCAGGGACTCAGGGGACCCACAGCAATGATGTGCATCAGCCTACCTGAGCACACCAGCAGCAGAGGCAGCAGGCAAGACAGGTAGGTCCTCATAGCTAGGGGGGACAGGTGTGCAGGTGTGGCCCCGTCCAGAGCTCGAGCTGTCTGGCCTGGATCAGGCCAGCCAGCCTTTATAGGGCCTTCTCCAGCTGTGGCTGGGGTGGGGCAGATGTGTCCCTCACTGTCTCCTGACCCCAGCCCAACGTGTGATATCACCTGAGGTGTGGTTGGAGTAGTAAATACTTCCGGGGCACACCCTGCTCCTAAGCTCCCCGATGCCCGGGCCTGGCACGCCGTGCCCTGGAGAGACACTCAGTGCCCCCTTCACCAGCCCCCTGCCTACACACCTCCCCACCACGGTATGCAGGGGTCAGCAGCACTGCTGTCTGCTTCTCCCTGGGATGCATCACCCATGGGTGTCCTCGGCTCGCCACCATCACAAAGGCCATAGGCCAGGTGCCAGAATGGCAGCAGTGTGCAGCTCACAGCTCTGGAGCTGGGAAGTTCAAGATCAAGGTGGCAGCAGGGCTGGTTCCTCCTGAGGCCTCGCTCCTTGGCATGGGGATGGCATTTTCTCCTGCATCCTCATGCGGTCATCCCTGGACACGTCTGTGTCCTCATCCCCTCTTCTTATTGTGGGAGGTAGAAAGTTCCCTTTTAAAGTTTCCTTTCTTGTTAAAGAATAAATCTAAGTGTGCTAATAACTCTTTGTGAAGCCCTATCCTATGTAGCTGATAGACCTGCCATGTTACAGGCACGTAGTACACTCTATGTCCTTGTGCTTTAACCAGGATATCTGTGCGGGATGTGCTCGCAGGCCTGTCCCTGGTCTCCATTGCTTTTACTGTTTAGAAAAGTTGTAAGTTGTTAGCCAATCGGGTTTCAGTTTAGATTGTGAGGTCTGGCTCCAGCCAACGGAGATCAGACACGGCAGTGAGGACGACCCCAGACGCATAAGAGAGAAATTTGTGTGTTTTCCTTTACTCTCTGTACTCCAGTGGCACAGTGGCTAGTGAGGGTGCCCTTCCTGCAGCCCAGGAAGTAAAAAGTGTGTTGTTTTCAGTGCTATTCTTTCTTTTGTGGCACTGAGCATCTATTTCCAATATCCATTTTCTTTCTTTCTTTCTTTCTTTCTTTCTTTCTTTCTTTCTTTCTTTCTTTCTTTTATTTTTATTATACTTTCAGTTCTGGGGTACATGTGCAGAACGTGCAGGTTTGTTACATAGGTGCACATGTGCCATGGTTGTTTGCTGCATCCACCACCCTGTCATCTACACTGGGTATTTCTTCTAATGTTATCCTTCCCCAATCTCCCCACCCGCTGTTCTCCCTCCTCTAGCCCCTCAACCTCCAACAGGCCCCAGTGTAAAGACACCAATCAGGTTAGGTGAGGGACCCCTGCATAATCTCATTTTAACTTAATCACCTCTCTAAAAACCCTATCCCCAGGCAGTCTCGCTCTGAGGAACTGGGGTCGGAACTCCAAAACAGGAATTTGGAGGAACCCAATTCTGCCCCTAACACAGGGAGAGAAAGAAAGGGGTCATTTCCCCGTGCTCGGATGTGGGCCTGACAGGTGATCACCGAGAGCCCCATGGGGGCAGGTATCCTTGTTCCTAAGATGGGATCAAAACCCACACCTGGACTCCATGCAGCCAGGCGACCACTGATCACATCTGGGCCAGTAGCACTCTGCTTCCATTAAATGAGTAAATATTCACGATTTAAAGTGCCAGGAAGTTGTCCTTTCCTCCTGACTACCAGGATTCCAGGTGTGAGCTTTAGCCCCATTTTATGGACAAAGAAACTGAAGGCCCAAGGTGGGAAATGGCTGGCCAGGTGAGGGCTGCCAGGTGAGGACTGCCAGGTGAGGGCTGCCAGGTGAGGACTGCCAGGTGAGGACTGCCAGGTGAGGGCTGTCAGGTGAGGACTGCCAGGTGGGGGTTCCCAGGTGAGGACTGCCAGGTGAGGACTGCCAGGTGGGGGCTGCCAGGTGAGGACTGCCAGATGAGGACTGCCAGATGAGGACTGCCAGGTGGGGGCTGCCAGGTGAGGACTGCCAGGTGGGGGCTGCCAGGTGGGGGCTGCCAGGTGAGGACTGCCAGGTGGGGGCTGCCAGGTGGGGGCTGCCAGATGAGGACTGCCAGGTGAGGACTGCCAGGTGAGGACTGCCAGGTGGGGGCTGCCAGATGAGGACTGCCAGGTGAGGACTGCCAGGTGAGGGCTGCCAGGTGAGGGCTGCCAGGTGAGGACTGCCAGGTGGGGGCTGCCAGGTGGGGGCTGCCAGGTGAGGACTGCCAGGTGAGGACTGCCAGGTGGGGGCTGCCAGGTGAGGACTGCCAGGTGAGGACTGCCAGGTGGGGGCTGCCAGATGAGGACTGCCAGGTGAGGACTGCCAGGTGAGGACTGCCAGGTGGGGGCTGCCAGATGAGGACTGCCAGGTGAGGGCTGCCAGGTGAGGGCTGCCAGGTGAGGACTGCCAGGTGGGGGCTGCCAGGTGGGGGCTGCCAGGTGAGGACTGCCAGGTGGGGACTGCCAGGTGGGGACTGCCAGGTGAGGACTGCCAGGTGAGGGCTGCCAGGTGAGGACTGCCAGGTGGGGACTGCCAGGTGGGGACTGCCAGGTGAGGACTGCCAGGTGAGGGCTGCCAGGTGAGGACTGCCAGGTGGGGGCTGACAGGTGGGGGCTGCCAGGTGAGGACTGCCAGGTGGGGGCTGCCAGGTGAGGGCTGCCAGGTGAGGACTGCCAGGTGGGGGCTGCCAGGTGGGGGCTGCCAGGTGAGGACTGCCAGGTGAGGACTGCCAGGTGGGGGCTGCCAGGTGAGGACTGCCAGGTGAGGACTGCCAGGTGGGGGCTGCCAGATGAGGACTGCCAGGTGAGGACTGCCAGGTGAGGACTGCCAGGTGGGGGCTGCCAGATGAGGACTGCCAGGTGAGGGCTGCCAGGTGAGGGCTGCCAGGTGAGGACTGCCAGGTGGGGGCTGCCAGGTGGGGGCTGCCAGATGAGGACTGCCAGGTGGGGGCTGCCAGGTGGGGGCTGCCAGGTGAGGACTGCCAGGTGGGGACTGCCAGGTGAGGACTGCCAGGTGAGGACTGCCAGGTGGGGGCTGCCAGGTGAGGACTGCCAGGTGAGGACTGCCAGGTGGGGGCTGCCAGGTGGGGACTGCCAGGTGAGGACTGCCAGGTGGGGGCTGCCAGGTGGGGGCTGCCAGGTGAGGACTGCCAGGTGGGGGCTGCCAGGTGAGGGCTGCCAGGTGAGGACTGCCAGGTGGGGGCTGCCAGGTGAGGACTGCCAGGTGAGGACTGCCAGGTGAGGACTGCCAGGTGGGGGCTGCCAGATGAGGACTGCCAGGTGGGGACTGCCAGGTGAGGACTGCCAGGTGGGGGCTGCCAGATGAGGACTGCCAGGTGAGGGCTGCCAGGTGAGGGCTGCCAGGTGAGGACTGCCAGGTGGGGGCTGCCAGATGAGGACTGCCAGGTGAGGGCTGCCAGGTGAGGACTGCCAGGTGGGGACTGCCAGGTGAGGACTGCCAGGTGGGGGCTGCCAGGTGGGGGCTGCCAGGTGAGGACTGCCAGGTGGGGGCTGCCAGGTGGGGGCTGCCAGGTGGGGGCTGCCAGGTGGGGGCTGCCAGGTGAGGACTGCCAGGTGGGGGCTGCCAGGTGAGGACTGCCAGGTGGGGACTGCCAGGTGAGGACTGCCAGGTGAGGGCTGCCAGGTGGGGACTGCCAGGTGGGGACTGCCAGGTGGGGACTGCCAGGTGAGGACTGCCAGGTGGGGGCTGCCAGGTGAGGACTGCCAGATGAGGACTGCCAGATGAGGACTGCCAGGTGAGGACTGCCAGGTGAGGGCTGCCAGGTGGGGACTGCCAGGTGGGGACTGCCAGGTGGGGGCTGACAGGTGGGGGCTGCCAGGTGAGGACTGCCAGGTGGGGGCTGCCAGGTGAGGACTGCCAGATGAGGACTGCCAGGTGAGGACTGCCAGGTGAGGACTGCCAGGTGAGGGCTGCCAGGTGAGGACTGCCAGGTGGGGACTGCCAGGTGAGGACTGCCAGGTGAAGGCTGCCAGGTGAGGACTGCCAGGTGGGGGCTGACAGGTGGGGGCTGCCAGGTGAGGACTGCCAGGTGGGGGCTGCCAGGTGAGGACTGCCAGGTGAGGACTGCCAGGTGGGGGCTGCCAGGTGGGGGCTGCCAGGTGAGGGCTGCCAGGTGAGGACTGCCAGGTGGGGACTGCCAGGTGAGGACTGCCAGGTGAGGGCTGCCAGGTGAGGACTGCCAGGTGGGGGCTGACAGGTGGGGGCTGCCAGGTGAGGACTGCCAGGTGGGGGCTGCCAGGTGAGGGCTGCCAGGTGAGGACTGCCAGGTGGGGGCTGCCAGGTGGGGGCTGCCAGGTGAGGACTGCCAGGTGAGGACTGCCAGGTGGGGGCTGCCAGGTGAGGACTGCCAGGTGAGGACTGCCAGGTGGGGGCTGCCAGATGAGGACTGCCAGGTGAGGACTGCCAGGTGAGGACTGCCAGGTGGGGGCTGCCAGATGAGGACTGCCAGGTGAGGGCTGCCAGGTGAGGGCTGCCAGGTGAGGACTGCCAGGTGGGGGCTGCCAGGTGGGGGCTGCCAGGTGAGGACTGCCAGGTGAGGACTGCCAGGTGAGGACTGCCAGGTGGGGACTGCCAGGTGAGGACTGCCAGGTGAGGACTGCCAGGTGAGGGCTGCCAGGTGAGGACTGCCAGGTGAGGACTGCCAGGTGAGGGCTGCCAGGTGAGGACTGCCAGGTGAGGGCTGCCAGGTGAGGACTGCCAGGTGAGGACTGCCAGGTGGGGGCTGCCAGGTGAGGACTGCCAGGTGGGGGCTGCCAGGTGGGGGCTGCCAGGTGAGGACTGCCAGGTGGGGGCTGACAGGTGGGGGCTGCCAGGTGAGGACTGCCAGGTGGGGGCTGCCAGGTGGGGGCTGCCAGGTGAGGGCTGCCAGGTGGGGGCTGCCAGGTGAGGACTGCCAGGTGAGGACTGCCAGGTGGGGGCTGCCAGGTGAGGACTGCCAGGTGAGGGCTGCCAGGTGAGGACTGCCAGGTGGGGGCTGCCAGGTAGGGGCTGCCAGGTGAGGACTGCCAGGTG